TAAAATACACCTAGACAGTGTATGTGTGTGTATGTATATGTTTATATATATACTTAGATCATTTATATATATGATCTAAGTATATAATTTTTTTTTTTACACTTTTAAATTGAATTTTATTTGATTTCCAGCCAGCAGGGGGACTACCTGTCATTACAGGCAGTCCCCCAGCTGGCAATGCAGCAGCCAGCTATCCAGGCCATGTGATTGTGAGGTCCTCGCAAGGACCTCACTCTCACATTGCCGGGGGGGCTGCAGGACGGAGGATCCGCCGCGGGGGGCTTCCTGGGAGTCCCCCCAACCGCTATCGCTGGCGTGGGATCGCCGTGACCGGGTAAGTAAGAAAAAAACAGAGGGCATACTATTATGCCCAGCTGCGTTTAGAGCCGCCTAAAATAGGGCGTAATAGTACGCCCTCCGGTCTTAAGGGGTTAAAGGGACACTATAGTTGCCAGAACAACTTGTATTTGTTCTGGTGAGTATAATCATTCCCTTCAGGCTTTTGCAGTAAAACACTGTTTTCTCAGAGAAAATGCAATGTTTACATTACAGCAGTGGTGTAATCTGGTTTTGTGCTGCCCTAGGCAGGACAAAACTCAGACGCCCCCCTCCCCCCGCGCCACCCCCACCCAACCCTTCCCCCCGCCCCACCTTCTAAATACACACACACACAGTCAAACACACACACACACAGAGTCAGAGACACACACAGTCAGACACAAACACACACACACACACACAGTCAGACACAAACACACACAGTCAGACACACAGTCAGACACAAACACACACACACATACACTCACAAACACAGTCAGACACAAACACACAGTCAGACACACACACACACACAGTCAGAGACACACAGTCAGACAAAAACACACACACACAGTCACACACACACAGTCACACACAAACACACACACTCACAAACACAGTCAGACACAAACACACACACACACTCACAAACACACACACAGTCAGACACACACACACATTAACTTTTTTTTTAATTTAAATCCCCCCCCCAACCTCCATACCTTTGGGAGTGCTGGGAGGGGGTCTCTCTCCCTGGTGGTCCGGTGGTCTATTGCCTGCAGGTCGGGGGTGCGGCGAGGGAGCACTTCCTATGAGCTATCTGCTCAGCTCCATCGCGCGCCGGCTGCAGAGTGAGGCTGGGAGCCGGAAGATGACGTCATCTTCCGGCTCCCAGCCTCACTCTGCAGCCGGCGCGCGAGGGAGCTGAGCACTCAGCTCAGGGGAAGAGCTCCCTCGCCCGCCGGCCGCCCGCCTGCCAGCGCCGCCCGCCCGCTCGGGATGTCAGTTAGCCGCGAGGCTAACTAGACATTTGCCCTGGGCATTTGGGGGGCGGCGTTTTTTGTCGCCCCCTGAAAAATGCCGCCCAAGGCAAATGCCTTGTTTGCCTCGCGGCTAATACGCCCCTGCATTACAGCCTAGTGATAACTCCACTGGTCACTTCTCAGATGGCTCTTAGAGGTGCTTCTGTGGCAGTGCTTTGCAGTGTGCTGCACTGGCATTCAGTGTCTCCACCCTCTGAATGGAAACACTGAACTTTCCTCATAGAGATGCCTTGATTCAATTTCTCTATGAGGAGATGCTGATTGGCCAGGACTGTGTTTGGCTTGTGCTGGCTCTGCCCCGATCTGGCTCCTTGACAAACTCAGCCAATGATTTCCTATGTGAAAGCATTGTGATTGGCTCAGATTACCACAGCAGCATACTGGATTTAATGCACAATTTTGCTATATTTAAGGGGGCAGGGGGGAGCCAGCAGGGCTAGATTGTGTTTTTAACACTATAGGCTTTTCTCCTCTTCCTGAGTTGTGTTTAAAAGCTGTTGTATACTACAAGGAATCAGAAACCCCTGCCTCTGGCTCTCCCTCTGACTGGGGACTCAGATTTTCCAACTCACTTCACTCTCCCTGCAGCCAGCGCAGTGCAACCAGTGAAGTCGGTCGGCCTCTCCTGATGATGTCAGGAGGAGGGGGCGTGACTTCCACTGCTCTTCTCACAGATTCCCCAGTGGAGTGCTGTGGAGTCCTGGAGTAGAGCAGGGAAAATCACGCCCCCTCCTCCTGACATCATCAGGGCGGCCGAATGACTTCCCTGGCTGTGTGTTGGCTGCTGGCTGCTGGCGGTTCCTGTCCCACCAGGGGCAAGGCTTCCCCCTCCCTGGTCCAAGGTAAGACTCAGGGAGGGGGGGGGGATACACTTTTTTACTTTTAAGCAGCCTCTGCCCTCCCTCTACAGCCCCTAACCCCCCTCTACAGTCCCTAACCCCTTTTCTACAGCCCCTAACATCCCCTCTAGAGCCCCTGTCAGCCATCTCAGCTCATGTCCCTCTGTACAGCCCCTAACCCCCTCCTTTACAGTCCCTTCCCACACTCTACAGCCCCTGATACCCCTTACAGCCCCTGCCCCCTTTACAGCCCCTGCTCCCCACTCTACAGCCCCTGTTACCCCTCTCAGCCCCTGTCCCCCTCTACAGCCCCTGCTCCACCTTTTATAGCTCTTGTGCCCCCTCTCTGCCCCTGTACCCCAGCACCACAGCAGTTGCCCCTCATCACTGTGCCTGCCTGGTGCAGCCTCTGTCTCCCCTTTCTCTATACCCCCCTGCCTCAGCCTGTGTCCTACTCTCAGCCCATGCCCCCCCCTGTACAGCCCCTGTGTACCCCCTTCTACAGCCCATGTTCTCCTCTCTACTGCACCTGTCACCAACCTCTACATCCCCTGTCCCCCCACCTCAACCCCTGCCTCCTTCTACAATCCGTGTCCCCCCTTCTACAGCCAGTGTCCCCCACTCTACATCCCATGTGTCACCCCTTTACAGGCCCTGTGCCCCCTCTACATGTCTTGCCCCCTTCTACAGCCCCCCATCCTGTCGCCAACCTCTAGAGCCCCTAACCGCCCCCCTCTACATCCCCTGTCCCCACACATCAACCCCTGCCCACCTTCTAAATCCCCTATGCCCCCTTTACAGCTCCTGACCCACAGGGATAAGGTGGTCCCAATCCCCTCTCAGCCCCTGCCCCCCTTTGCAAGTCCTATGTTTATCCCTGTAACTTTTCAAAACACCATAAAACCTGGACATGGGGGTATTATTATACTTGGGAGACTTTGCTGAACACAAATATGTGTGTTATAAAACAGTAAAACATATCACAATGATGATAGTACCAGTAAAAGTGCAGTTTTTATGTAAAAAAATGCAAAAAAACAAATATGAATGCTAACTTTGGCTAGCATTTGGGACTAAGTGGCTATGAAAAAAACACTGGACATAACCCATTTTGAATACCCTGGGCTGTCTACTTTTTCAAATGGTTTGCCATGGTGGGGTTAATTCACATTCCTGGGCTACCATACCCAGTGGTATTTTGGATTTGTGCTGCCCTAGGCAGGACTGTGCTCGGGCACCCCCCCAATTAAAATTTTCCCCACCCCTTCCTGTCAAGGCCGCACTTTGAATGACAGACGCACACTCACTGACAGACGCACACACTCACTGATTGATGTATACACTCATTGACAGACACACACTCTCATATACACTGACAATCAATGACATACACACATACTCACTGATTTGACACACTGATAGGCAAACACACACCATTACTCAGACACACACTGACAGACTCACACTCACTGACAGATTCGCACTGACAGACGCACACACTCACTGACCAACACACACACACTCACTGACAGTCACATTCACTCACAGACACACACACTTACAGACACACACACATACACACATACACACACACATTCACTTAGACATACACACTTATAGACACACACATTCACTCACAGACACACACACTTAGGCACAAACACACACATTCACTCACAGACACAAACACTTAGACACAGACACACACACATTAACTCACAGACACACACACACTTAGACACAAACACACACACACATTTCCCCCAACACTCACATATTATTATTATTTTTTTAATTTGAATTTAAATCCACCCAACCTCCCTGGGAGAGCTGGAGTTGATTACTTACCTGCGGTCCAGTGGGGCTGCTGCATGGGCAGGCAGGGGGCGGACAGGCTGAGTAGGCGGCGAGGTAGCTCTGATTTTCCTGCTCAGCTCCCTCCTGCGCCTCTTAGTGATACCTGGAGCCGGAGTGACTAGACAAAAAAGACTAGCCATACCCCATTTTGAATACTCTGGGTTATCTACTTTTACAAATGGTATGCCAAGATGGGGTTAATTTTCATTCCTGGGCTACCATACGGTCTCAAAGGCAACATAGGCCCAGCAAACCAATCTGGCAAATTTCAATGGAGAAGGGGAAAGCCCTATATTTGACCCCTGTAAGTTTCTAAAAACTCATAAAACCTGTACATGGGGGGTACTGTAGTACTCATGAGACATTGCTGAATAAAAATATGTGTATTGTATTGCAGTCAGGGCCATCTTTAATATTGATTGGGCCCTGAGCAAGCATTTGATGGGGCCCCCTGACCCTCACTCCCTGACATGCAATCACGCTCTCCACTTCCCAACGCAGTAGCGGAACCATTTTCCCATGCTTGCAGAGTTGTATTTAGCACTAAGCTGTGTTTGTGTGTTTGAATGGAAGCATATATTTGTATGGAGTATGTTTGTGTAAATGTAGGGGTGTGTTTGTATGTGGTGTTGGTGTTTGAATGCAAGCATGCATCTATGTGTAGTTTTTTTGTTTTTTTAATGCTGGGGTGTGTTTATATATATTTTTGATGTTTAACACAAAGGTGTGCTTGTATGTATTGTTGACATTTTAATGCAGAACTGTGTTTGTATGTAGTGTTGAAGGTTGAATGCAGGGGTGTACTTGTGTGTAGTGTTGACGATTTGAATGATGAGATGTATGCACATGTACACATACACTGCCACACACACTGTGATACACATACACACAGATACACACACATACACACACTGAAACACATGCAGATATACAGATATAAACACTGACACTCACACTAACACACATGCAGATACAGACTGACACAGATACACACACTAACACATACAGACACACAGATACACAACCTGACACACATACAGAGACATATATACAAACACTGACACATATGGATACTCAGACACACTGATGCATATACTGACACACATGCAGATACACAGATAAAAACACTGACTATATACAGATGCACATACAGATATACATACACAGGTACACACACTGACAACATAAAGATACACAAATACATAAAATGATAACATACAGATACACACACTGACACACATACAGACACGCAGATACACAACCTGACACACATGCAGATACAGAGACACACAGACCACATGGAGAAACATAGATATACTAAATACAGATACACAGATATACACACTGACACACACTGACACAGTGACATAGTGACATACACTGACAGACATACTGATACACACACAGATGCACACACACACCCTGACCGGCATACTCACACACACATACTAAGACACACACAGACATACTGACACACATGCAAAGTTTACATTTTTACACACTGACAGACATACTGACACACACACTGACAGACAAACTCAGATGCACACATACAGACAGACAAACCGACATTCACAGACAGACAAACTGACACGCACAGACAGACATACTGACATGCACAGACAGACATTCTGGCACACACAGAGACATACTGACACACAGACATAGTGACACACACACATACACCCTGACAGACATACTGACACACACACAGGCATATTGACACACACAGAGACATAATGACACACACAGACAGACATACTGACACACACAGACACCCTGACAGACATACTGCTACACTGACACACATACAGACATACTGACACACACACACACATACGCCCTGACAGACATACTGACACACACAGAGACATACTGACACACACACAGGCACCGTGACAGACATACTGACACACACAGCCAGACATCCTGACACACACAGACACCCTGACAGACATACTGCCACACTGACAGACATATTGACACAAACACACACAGACATACTGACACACACACAGACATACTGACACACACACACTGACATACACACAGAAATGGTGACACACACACACTGGCACCCTGACACACATACTCACACACTTACAAACATACTAAGACACACACAGACATACTGACTCACACAAATACTGACACACACACATACACACATGCAAAGTTTACATTTATAAAGCCACCCTTCAGCCCTACCTAATGGGTTCAGGAGGGTGGTTCCCTGGGGTCCAGCGACATGCTGAAGTAGTTAGGAGTGTGAGGCTCTGACAGTTCCCTCCTAACGGCCTTTTCCTCCATCCCATGCGGCTTCACTCTATCTGGGAGGAAGTGACTCATGGCAGTCACTTCCTTCCAGCCTGCTGCTGTAAAACAAGGGGGCCCGGTCGCGATGTTAAAGGGCCACAGCACCCGACTGGGCCCTTTTAGTGTGTGG